TGCTGCTCTTCTACTACGACTACTACTACTACTACTACTACTACTCCTGCTGCTACTACTACTACTACTACTGCTACTGCTACTGCTACTGCTACTGCTACTACTACTACTACTACTACTACTACTACAAATAAAAATACTAATATTAATAATTACCGCCACTACACTATTAGCTTGCCAGCTATTTTTTCAAGGGCGGTCATTGTCATTACTATCGTTATGGTTTTAATATCACCATCGACAGTAGCATTGTTAGTAATTACTGCTATGACTATGTATTGCTGCTTTTTCTCGTTGACAGCAATCGTCGTCATCAACGTATAGCGTCCATTTCGATTACTATGATTACTCCTCTCGAGCCGAGGTTTGGCATGATCCTGCGGCACGAGACCGTGCGGGACCGTGGCCTGCTTCACAGCATCGACACGGCCCAAGCGGCCATGGATTTCTGCAGGCTTTGTGGCTTCAAGGTTTCGGGTCTTCAGGCATGCGGGCCTTTATGGTTTCAGGTTTTGGGTCCAGAGTTTCCATCATCATTGTCATCACTTCTGTTCGCATTGAACTGAAAGCCGTTGGGTTGGAGCCCACGTTTTCTTCTGTAATTACTTGTCCACAGTAGGCCCCGGCAGGTGAGCACCGATACAGTAATTTACCTCCCAGCAATGAACACCCACGTCGACTCACCCGGACCGTGTTGATCCGGATCCTGTTTCTTCGCGCCCCAATCTTTGAGAGATAGTGCAGTGTTGGCGATGCGGAAGGTGCCGTGATATTTTTTCAATTTGAAGGATTGCATCGTGACTCCCCGGATGACAAGTCCAAATGACAACAACTTGAAGCTTTACCACAATACTGTTGAGCAGCATTCCTTGAAAGGGATCGGCATGTCTTGCAAGAGGCCACGTTCTCGTCTGCTGCACTCAAATTGGTTGCTGTTGTGGCCAGCCCATGCAGGCTGGACGGGGTTGTCTTTATCAGCCACCAGTGGGCTGGATACAGCCACCCTGATCCTTGGCTACACGTGCCCGTTGTCACTATTAACAATACCACTAAACCCTAACGACAAAACCCACCTGTGGCTGCGTGACCTCTTCAAGCGCACAACGAACTGCCAAGGATCCCCATGGCACGAAGTACGAAGCTATAGGGAAGGCTGTGCACGAGCTTCAAAGTCGAGGTGTCCGAGCAAACTGGATATGGCTGGAAGCTTGGCTATAGGAACAATATGAACGTTGGTATTAGAAACAAGTGCTACTGTCATCATACATACATGCTCGTGCCTTGTGCCCCTACACGTACAGTACATATATTAATATACACACATAGTGAACGTATATCCGTGTGTACACACACATATATATGGATATAAAGGCATTTACAGACATACATACGCACGTACGTACTCATACATACATACATACATACATACATACATACATGCATACATGCGTACATCATACTTTGAATACATACGTAAAAATGCGGACTTCAGCAACCTGCCTGCATAGAGTAGCACATCCGGGAAGATCTTGTTGAAGTAGCCATCTGTTGGATCTCAACAGCTGCGCCTCCTTTAAAGAACAGAGCCGAGGACTACTGCTGCATCCCGCAGGAGAATAATGTCCAGCAGCAGAGTGCCATCAACTCCATGTTTGCTTACACCTCCTTTTGCACAACTTTCCTCTCTCTAGCGCCAACGTGCACGCACGTAGATTCAGGCCGGGGGGTTGGGGCTGGGAGGGCAGCTTTGGTTTGGTGCTGTTGTGATGCTCTCTGTCCTGTCCGCATAGGGTAGAAAGTTGCTGAGAAAATCTGGGCAAGTGTAAGGGGCACCGTTAAATTCGCGATGGTGGGGTCACGGTTCAACCCCAAATAAGCTCATAAAGCTCATCCTGGTCTCATACATTTATTACTTGCCAATTACGAAGGCCCCCGAACTTTAAAGCGACACGCCCGCAAGAATGATCTGTCAAGAGGCGTAGCAATTGCTCGCTGAGTTCATTCGGTGTGGTTTCTTTGGATTATTGATGGCCACATCGGCTTGCGTCTTCCTTCTTGCAGGGATCTATCTGCGAGGCTTCACTCCCTGTATGCGCGCATAGAGGCGCTAGAATCGCCCACATGCCATCTTCAAATTGGAAGCTGCTGCCGCGCCATTCCTGTGTCGCTGCTGATCATGTTTTTTAGGCTGTCCAGTTGCTTTATGATGCTATCATCATTGGGCCGTATTGAATGCTTTTAAGATTACGGGACGCCGAGTCCGACTATAATTGCTATGAGGGACCGCTTAGGTTTAGGCGTACAACAGCCACGGGTCAACTGCACGTCGAAATTTGTAGGAATGTAATGTTTGGTGTGAACTCTGCAATCGCAGCGGGATAAAGCTTCACAGCTCTAGAGGAGTGTCGTAGCCATAACCCCCGAACAGCAGTATCGATACCCTAGACCCCAGACGAGCAAAATCATATCCGATTAAATCTCCGTTGGGAGGCGAAGAACTCACCCCGGAGACGCGCCACCAGCGGCTGTGGTGTCTCTTGGAGTTGCTGCTCGGCTTCGGGTTGTCATTGCCTGAGTGGTTCTGCTTGGTTCCTGCCTGCTTGCAGCAAATGTAATAACAACCTGCTCCTGCTCCTGCTGCTGCTGCTGCTGCTGTCTCACATTCGGGGCAAGTTGTTGGACTCGCTTCGAGGCCAAGTCTTCGGGATCCTTTGATGGCCGCTCCACGTCACCATCGCCAAAAAGGGGTCCTATTCTAGAGTCTGTTCTGTCGTTAAACTAAAGAGGTTTGATCAAGGCCCGACGGGCCCGACGCTTTAAGGGTAGGACGGTGTTCCTTGTGCTGACGCGTTAAATGAGAAGGGTTCAGACAATGGGATGGTTCCAGGACAAGCCCGGTATGTATAGTTTCTATACGCAGCCCTTGAAACTTATGATTCCATTCATTCCGGCTGCGCTCTTTCACCTTTCGTGCAGAGTGTCCTTGTGGCTTGTGCTGGCTTTCCGGCCTAAACCGGAAACCCTAAAGTTGGAACCTTCATGGGACCCAAACCCTTATCCTCAAGCCCTGCCTTGAAGGCTGTGTTTCACGGTGAGTCGTGCTGGGCGGCATGACGAGACTTACCTATACACCGACGATGGCTTGGAGGAGGACGGCTTCCCTGAACATCCAAACCTTGGCTCCATGTAATATATGCGCCTTAATAATGCTTACCTACACTATTTTGGGGGTTCCTTAATAGAATTATAGTATATGCCCCAAAGCCCCAAATTTAATGATAAAGGATGCTACAGTGCAGTACCTTACTTACGCAGCCACAGGACGAGCCGCCTTCTGAGCAGGCGTTGGGCGTCATGCAGCTCTGCTGACCTCAGTCGTTCTCTTTTTACATTGCTTTGCATCTGTGCTATCGGTTTGACACTGTCAGGATGCGTAGCTTATAATACCCAGTCTACACTCTTACAATATGTTACAGCACAATACAAAATAGATGATGTGCAACATGATTCATACAAAATGATGGAACTGTTTCCCGACTTGTCGGCATTTGTACTAGCACACAAAAAGTCGTCAGCGAGTGATTATGGTGGTGAGAAGAGAAGTATCATCTGTCTGTGTGTGCTTGCTATTGGTCGTGTTCTGGTTTCCCCTAAACCCGAAACACAACCCTAAACTTACTAAACCCCTTGGCTAAGCCCTAAACCCCTGAACCCCTAAACACAACCCTAATCCCCTTAAGCCCTAAACCCCTAGCTCATAAAGCCTAAACACGCAAAAGCAAACTTGGATGAGCAATCAGATGGAGAGCAGATTTGGGGCAGTTTCGATTTCCCCGTATGGGCGCCTAAGAGGATCTTATCCACGAATATATTCAAAGGCTTTAAAACCGCCAACCTAGATAATGACAAGCACAACATAGCACAACAAGAGCGACAGTGAGAAGCCGAATGGAGCAAATATTCGCCCCTGCAAGCCCTGTTCTGCTGGGCGACCTAGGAATGGTACTAGCACCTGCTGCCAACTCTGCCACGCCAGCAGCAATCCCTGTGATAAGCAACGGGTGGTGAGTGCCTCGTACAGAAACTGTCTGCACTTGCAGGTTCAGGAGTAGTTGCAAGTGGCGATTATGAGTGGGGTAATTCGAGTTATAATCAATGTCAGGGGACCTATTAGCCCTCTGGGAACTCGCAGCCATGAACCTCCGAGTAGGATTTGTGGGTTGGGGGTTTAGGGTTTCTGGTCTTGGATTGCAGGAGTTCTCCGATGTTGTGATGACTTGGTTGTTTGTCGAGCTCCAGGCCTTACATTCACGGTCTAGGGTTTAGGGTTCGCACTTATTATGATTAGTGTTCTTCTTGCTGTAACTGTCGTGTATATTTGCTGTCGTTATTGTTCTTATTCTGGTCGTCTCTGTGTTTCTCTCCTGGGCTCCAACCTGCCACGTGTCAGGGCACCGGCGGTTGGCGGCACTTCACGGTCTTTGAATTTCTTAAAAGTCTTAGGGGGTTTGGGGGTTCAGGGTTAGGGTTTTGGAGGCACCTCTCCCAAGCAGGTACAATAAGTTTGCGTCTTGCTAGCCAGTACTACTCCCATTGCCTAGTCTTGTCTGTGGTAGCAACGAACCTCACCCCGAATCCCAGTTGTGCAGCCATAACCCCGAATCTGGGCCCTAACATTTTCTAGATGCTGACCACTTAAAGCCCAGAAGCATTCCCAGAGACGTAAGCCCAACCTAGGTGTGATGTTGGGAATCTACTGGCGATTGCTTGTCCTGAAGCAGAAGGATGGAGGAACATCTGCCTGGGCTATGGGAATGCTCGAACAGGTTGATGATGCTCGTCGTGTGGAGAGGAAGATTTGCAGACCGCTAGTTACATGGTGCAAGCACTCAACCCTAAACCCCTTTATCCTGATACCCTACACCCTAAAGCCTAGAACCTCAAGCCGTATACAGGAAACCATAAACCCTAGACCGTAGACTTTAACATCTTTAGTATGGTCTGTTCAATTTTAGGGGGGGGGGGGGGGGGGNNTCGGGGTTGAAAGCGTGCTGGAATGTTCTGCGTGGAATCCGGCGGTAGAGAACCTGAGTTTGTGCGTCTAGGCTTTGGGGTTTCGGAGTGGAGGCTCACTCAGGGTCTACGGCTTATCGGCCGACTTCGTCGATCCCAGGCGAACGAGGAGAGCTTCTTTCCTGGCAGAGTCAGTATCGTGGCTTCAGAAGCATCTGCTAGAATCGAGGTCCCATACTTGACTTTAGGGTTTACATAGGGGTCGCGAGAGCTAAAGATGTCGAAAGAGGTGACTTCCAGCTACGATCTGGGGGAGGGAGGAAGCGCCGTTTCGTAGAAACTCCAAAGCAGTCCCCGGCCTTCTTAGCAAAGCCTTAAACCCTAAACCCAGAAGGCAGAACCTTAAATCCTAAAGCCCAGAACGCCAGGCTTCAGAACCCAGGCCAGCAGCAATTCCCGGAAGCACCGACGAGCCGAAATCCAGGTGTTACGACTTCGGCTATCCTGTGCTGAGTTTGGCAGGGAGACTAGTAACTGGTGAGATAACTTGTGGCCTCTTGTGAGTTGACGGCATCGTGCCGGGTCCAGGATGCTCTCTGTCTCGTTACACAAACTTTATCCCGTGTGTACTTGTTTACATTTAGCACCACTCTCCTAAACCCTAAAACCCTAAANNACCCTAAACCCTAAACCGTCAAGCTCTGAGGATACCGACTCGAGCAAGCTTGTAACCCAAATTCTGAAGGGCAGCCGAAGACACGGCCCCCCTTTGCAGGTCGGGTTTCTATAATCCTAAACCCTAANNCCCTAAGCCCTGAACCATCCTAAACCCCAAAACCCTAAACCCTAAACCATCCTAAACCCTATTCCAAAACCCCAAACCATCCTAAGCCGAGAAGTTGCACAATAAACCATCCTAAACCCCCAAATCTAAAGACCCTAAACCGCTTCGTAAGAGATTGTGCAGAGAAGCGAGGCTTGCTCGACGAGGGTGGCAACAGCTACGAGGTCGATCTCTTCGAAGGCCAGGGGTTTAATGTAGGGGGCCTAAATAATTTCCTATACTATTTTGGGGGCTCCTTATTAAAATTATAGTACAATGGGCCCCAAAACCCTATTCTAATTTATTAAGGCTTCTACATTAGGGTCTAGAGTTGCACCAGCTTACGGTTGAAGGCTTTACCGGTTTAGGGTTGAAGGGTTTGGGGGTTGAAGGGTTTAACGGTTTTGAGTTTAACGGCTTCGGGTTTAACGGTTTAGGGTTGAGTTGACGATTTAGGGTTTGAGGCTTTAGGGTTGAAGGGCTTAAGGTTACAAAGTTCAGACGGCAGGCTACCTACCGGCGCTGCGAGAGATGTTCGAGGAAGATGCCGAGCAGTTCCTTAGCCAAGCCGGCCCAGGCACCCTGGGTTAAGAGTTGTAAAGGATTTGGGAGTTTCCGAAAATTAGGGGTACCCTATTTTGGTGTGTCCTTTACAATAAGGATCCTGCTATTTAGGGTACTATATTAGGGTCCCCTATTTTCGGAAACCCCCATTGAAAGGTTTGGGGGTTTAGGGTTTAGGGTCTGAGATTTCAGTGAAGTTTAGGGGTTTATAAGGTTTCGGGTCTGGTTGCAGTAAAGTTTAGGGCTTAGGCGTTAAGGTTCAGGGGTCAGGTCTTTGGGCTGAGGTGGTTGTGGGTTTGGCACTCGTGTTGTTGCTTCAGGGTTCAAGGATCGTCGATAATTATTGCAAGGAGTTTGGTAATGATGTTGCTAAAGCATATTCAATTTTGTAAGGACTCTATACTGTCGGAATTACAGTGGTAGTAGCTGCATTGCTCAGTGCTTGAATGTTACTGCTCCTGGGTGCGGCTGCACCGGTGACAGGGTTGATGAACCCTAAGCTCTAAACCAAGTTGTGGTTCTGGACGGGTCAGCAATAGTACACAAACTCTTATATATACACACACACACCATGCAACCATAGAGCCCCACCACAACTCTTATTGATCCCGTATCCAGGGCGGAATGGGTCCTTGAATTACAGGAATAACCCGTAATGTTCCTCAGCGCCCCAAAATGCGGAAAATGACCCTAAATCCTAAACACTGTAACACCCATAATACCCCACGATACCCTCATATCCTAATCCCCTAAGATTCGAGAAAACTTCAGGCGCCAAGATTTTGTCATCTCGGCTGGGCTTCGACATTTCCTCAGCTTTCGGAAGGGGTTTAGGGGTTTAGGGTTTAAGTTTTAGCGTTTGAGGGGGACGCAGCGCTTGGGGAAACTTCTCGTTTTTCAGCCATCGCTGCTAGTAGCTGAGCAGCAAATCGCCGTTGAGTTGAGGGATCCGTGGATTTCTTCGATGTTGTCTGGTGATTTAGGATTTCGGGGTCGGACATGCTTAATCAGGAATGAGGCACCTGACACTTCCTTGCGCGACCTTGCACGTATAGCTATAATCCTGCACCATCAGCCAGACCGGCAACTACATGCAATATACTTTTATGTCCGAAAAGAGAACCCAATACAACAGATTATAACACATGTGATATCTGATATGGTATGATCCAGTATATTACTATGCTGTAAGACAGCACAGTATAACATTATTCAATAATGATATAATGTAATACTACACTATATCCTAGCATATACTATACTATACTATACTGCCCAACTCTACTTTACTATACTTGACTTTTCCTTACTATATACTTTACTATACTAAACCATACTGTACTATATTAGGCTTTACTATAATAGTATAATAGATGCTAATGTAATGTACCCTACATGTTTACAATGTGTTTCATCTTAGGAAGCACAGTTGTAACATGATACAATATGATGCAACACAAAACCATAACAGATAACAAAACACAACACAACATAACACAACACAACATCAACATATAGATAGTATAATTAAGGTACATACATACCATCCATCCATCCATCCATCCATCCATCCATCCATGCATGCATGCATGCATGCATGCATGCATGCATGCATGCTTGCATCCATACATACACATACATACATACATACATACATACATACGTATTGTTATATGAAGATATATGTGTGTATCCTTTGTATCTGTATATACATACATACATACATACATACATACATACATACATACATGTATATGTATATGTCCCGCGCATGCAGGTGTCAGTGACCCTTGCGCTTTTGCAGGCACCTCGACTGCAGCAGTTCATACTGTATTGCCAGGGACCGTGGAGTTAAAGGGTCATGGGACCGAGCGCAATGCAGAGGACGATGCGTCGAATACGTTGCTTCACTCTTGCCAGCAGGTTTGTGGGTACTCGAAATTATATAGTATTCGAGGGTTTGGACCCCAAGAGAACCACAGATAGGGCCAGCCCACACTGACATAGCGAGACTCTGGTCCAGGTGCAGGCTTCGTGCTCGCATGTTGATTCAGGGCGCTTTGGTACTGTGGAAGTCTGGAGAGTGTTAGGTGCCCTGGCACATGTCGACTTGTAAATGCTAAACTGGACCCCAAGTTCTAAATACCCTGAGTCATAGAAGTTGCCGCCGGTGAGGTTTCCTGTCTCCATTTTCTGTTGGAGTTTTAGTCTTACTTCTGAGGAGTACGATATGCCGCGTGTGCTTGAGAACTCTGAAGTGCCTATGACATCGATTGTGGCTGTACTGTTTCGCCGTAGTCGTACGCATATCAGCCATATATATCCCCAAGCTAAAACCCACAAGCCCTTAACCTCAGCTTGAAGCCCCTGCACGACAAGCAAGTCAAAACAGCCCACGGCCCTAAGTGCACCCGAGCAAAACACTACGTACGAAGAAGCAATGACATACTTACATTGAAACATGGCTGGCTTTAGGTCCTGTCTGCCGGCTGCTGAGTTTTTCGGATTCTAGGGCACATGGCTTTCGAAATTTGGTATGATCGACCTTAGTGTTCAACCTCGACTAGACTACGGCCATGGACGAAGAAGACTGCTACTAATGCTACTACTGCTGCTGCTGCTGCTACAACTACTACAACTACCGCTACTACCACCCCTACCCGGAGTAGTAGTAGTAGTAGTAGTAGTAGTAGCGGTAGTAGGAGTAGTCGAGGACTTGGGCTTCTGCTGACCCTGACCAGGCACAACGTCCTTGACCGTCTCCAAAAGCTTGGGATTTGGTCGCTGCTGGGATCGTGCAACGAGTGCTTCTCCACACGGCTCCATAGGTTCTGTTCCGTCGTTGGGCTTAGAGCACAGGGAGCTCACTTGTTCATTACATCGGGCTTTCGCGGTTTGTTTGCGAAAGTGCTGGGGGTTGGCCTCTTGCTTCCAAGCGAAGCATCCGCTTTTCTTGGATACACAGTTGTGCCATGTTCCCTTTGCGATACGATGGTGCTTGCTACCGCTCCAATGCCACTGCTTTTCAGGTATCGATTGTTCTGCGGTCGGTGGGTTAAGGCGAGGGTGGTCAGGATGATGATGAAGGTGATGATGATGATGATGATTATGATGATACCACCACGGCCAACAAAAACAGCAGAAGCGAGCGACAGCAACACAACAGCAACAGCCAAAGCAACAGCAACGGACAACCAGGGACCGTAACAGTGTTGTTCCTGGTAGTCGTACCAGCAAGACGCTGCTTGTCGTCGTCATCATCACCATCACCAACATCTCAATTATAGCCATATTTTGCATACCCATCATCGTCGTCATCACCAGTCATAAGCGTCCTCCTCCTCATCGTCTTCATCACCTTCCATCGCCACCGCCACCACCACCACCACCACCACCACCACCGACACCGACACCACCACCACCACCGACACCACCACCACCACCACCACCACCACCAGCAGCATCATCATCATCATCACCAGCTTTTGCTGCTGTTGTTGCTGTTGTTGTTGGTGGTGGTAGCGGTGGTGGTGGTGGTGGTGGTGGTGGTGGCGGTGGTGGTGGTGGTGGTCGTGGTGGTGGTGGTGGTGGTGGTGGGCGTGGTGGTGGGCGTGGTGGTGGTGGT